AGAAGAAAGGCAACTTAGAGATAGGCCTAAAATTCGACAGAACAGTAGGATCCAGCCCAGTTTTTTTTTTAATAAAGGCTGCACGACTGCATGTTTAAGATTTAAAGGGACTACTCCAGAGGACAGACTGCTATTAATAACTGTGAGACACAATGGCCCGATAGTGGGAAAAACCTCCTTAAAAAATTGGGGCGGGACAGTATCATCTGGAGACCCTGAAGGCTTCAAGTGACCCACAATCTCCTGCACAAAAGGCAGGGTCACAGGCTCAAACATGTCAAACACAGCAGAGCAGATCAGTTTAAATATATAAATGTGGATGATTTTACTCTTTTGTTTTTCAGTGTGGAAATTAAAAAGTATCAGAAGATGAGTCAAAAAGTTATTTCTTCAATTCTTCCATAGACAACCTTTAAACTCAACTCTGACTAAATCTAAATGTTTCTTGTGATGAAGTGGTGTCAGGGCTCCCCCTGTGGTGTCTTCTTGTTAAAACTATTTATCCACCGAGGAGTTTTTGAACAGTGTTCCTGCTCTCTGTGTCACTGTGTCTCTCGAGCACAGTAATAAACAGCAGAATCTCCAGCTGTAAGACTGTTCATCTGCAGATAAACCTGATTTCTGCTGTTCTCTCTGGAGATGGTGAAACGGTTTCTGACTGAGTCAGAGTAGTAGGTGCTTCTGCTGTCGTAGTAGATCCAAGCAATCCATTCCAGTCCTTTACCAGCTGCCTGTCTGATCCAAGCTACATGAGGAGTGCTACTAAACCCAGAATATTTGCAGGTCAGTCTGTGGGATTCTCCAGGTCTTTTAATCACTGGTTGAGACTCAGTCAGTGTTTGACCATCAGTACCTACAAACAAACAGACTGTTAGTTTATGAAACAATTTGATAATATATTCTATTACACATTTGCTGAAGAATCCATTGTTCTTACCTGTCCAGTTCACTGTTAGGATTAGAAAAGCAATCAAAACCTCATGAGGTCTGATCATTGTAGCAGCCATGTGTCTCTGAATAATCTCCTGTGTGTTTGTCTTTGATTTACTGCAGGTCTTTAAGTCTCTCAGATAAGTAAAGGTAGCAGCAGAACTAATTTTGCATCAACTCCTCCCCTTGGAAAAGACACAGAGCTCATCACATCATTCTGCAACCCCTGGATTTCAGGAATTATTTTAATCATTTTGGAACGTGTTCATGCTTTAAGTTAAATATTCTGCCCTCATTCCAAGCTAAACATTTAAAACCAATCAAGACAAATTATATGAGAGTCTGTAAGAACTGTGTAAAAGGAGAAAGTTTTAGAAACAATGCTAATATGAAGTTGAAGGGGCAATAAAATAAGATAATTCTTCTTATTGATTCTGGATTATTTGGCCACATAAAGCAACTCAGACATCTGTTAAGTTGAAAATAACAAACCAGCTGAGAAGCTCTATGTAGAAGAGAGTAAATAATGTTTCCTTCTGTTAAACCACAAGTAGAACAGGAGCCTGAAACAACAGGAAACGGCAAATATTAACATGAGCTGTTTCTTTGTTTTTTGAGTCCACTGAAATAGGGTTTTTAATTTCTTAATATTGTATGTCTATTTTTAAAAAGAACATCCAACTCATCCCTTTGGAGAATGTTAGAGAGAACATTTTGATCAAAATTAAGAAACTTTTTTGAAAAACATTTCTCAAGCTCATTGTAGAAATGAGGAAACAACATCTTGAATTAAATCGTGAAAATTCAATTAATATGAGCTATTACTTTGTTTCAGGACCCATTATGGTTTTTGCATTTGTGAATAGATGATAAATCGGGTATAAAAAGTGATATAACATGTTGTGTTTTTTTTTCTATGAGTTTTATACCAACATAGCAATGAAAAACTTTGCATAGTTTGTATTTTTCTAATTTACCAAGTCAAACATCCATCATTTTCAGGAGCCCTTCCTCTGTTGAGTTTCTATAACATGTATTTGAAGCAGTACTTTTTTTTATCACTGTGGTCTTTCCTGTCTTAGAGATATTCTTTATCAATCATATAAAGGCTTTTTAAGGGTTAAAATATATCTTTGTTTCTATGATTATAAAACGTTTTCCCTCTTTTATTGTAATGCTATAAGGTATAAGTTTTATATGTTGTATTTATTCTCCCTACATTGGAAAATTAGCTGAAATAGACATATTTTTTGTTAGGATGAAGGTCATCATCTTTAGTGACATAAAATATAAGATTAAATTACCTAATGTTTGTTAAAGCTGGAGGAAAGAGTTTTGAATGAAGAGATAACGGGCAGCTTATGGAGACAATTTTTCTTTACTGAAAGAAAAATTAGACACTTGATAATTTCATATTCTGTCAGATAATACACAGTCAAGTAACATGCTGCTTTAATATTAACATGTTTGAGAAAAAGTATATATATATATATCTGTGTAGTACAAATCTCCAGTCCTTTAGCTCCTAATCGTTTACAGTTCTCATGTTTCAGACTTTTCAATCCAAGTTTGGCTGTAGCTGTCATTATATCTCACAATCAACCACTGACCTGGAAAACCTTCACAAACAGGAGATTGTGAATTTGAGCTGTTTATGAAATAGCATGTTTATTACTCTTTTACTGCCACAAATAAAATGAGTAAAAGGCTTCTTTCAGACATTTTTGTTCTTTCTTAGTAAAGATCTTTCTTCCTGTTTGCTTTGTTTAACACATTAATCTAGTAAGTTAGAGTTTGAAAAGCAAATCAACAATGGCAACATCAAAAAGATCTGTTTAATGTACATCCACGTCTTTGTCAGACAGTATGCTTTCACTTCACTCTGTTTATTTCCTTTGATTTCAACTTCCAATCCATTTATTCTCACAATCATTACACTTCTACCTCTAAGCCCATCAGTCAATAATTTATTGACTGATGGGTCATTGTAGAGATGAAACCCAGACTACACTGATGGTAGTCCGTTAAGTCCATTGAGTTCTGCAGGGAGATTTAAATCATGTAAGTCAAACTGTTCTTTTCTGAGCAAAACTGGTTTACTTTGCAAAAATATATATTGTAAAGTGAGGGTGTGGTTAGATTTTACTGTTACTTGTTTTATATTATTGTTTTTAGAAATCTTGTTGACNATCTGTGTAGTAAAAATCTCCAGTCCTTTAGCTCCTAATCGTTTCCAGTTCTCATCTTTCAGACTTTTCAATCCAAGTTTGGCTGTAGCTGTCATTATATCTCACAATCAACCGCTGACCTGGAAAACCTTGACAAACAGGAGATTGTGAATTTGAGCTGTTTATGAAATAGCATGTTTATTACTCTTTTACTGCCACAAATAAAAGGGAGTTAATGGCTTCTTTCAGACATTTTTGTTCTTTCTTAGTAAATATCTTTCTTCCTGTTTGCTTTGTTTAACACATTAATCTGGAAAGTTAGAGTTTTAAAAGCAAATCAACAATGGCAACATCAAAAAGATCTGTTTAATGTACATCCACGTCTTTGTCAGACAGTATGTTTTCACTTCACCCTGTTTATTTCCTTTGATTTCAACTTCCAATCCATTTATTCTCACAATCATTACACTTCTACTTCTAAGCCCAACTACCCGTCACACTTCTTTGGTTAAATTATTGACTGATGGGTCATTGTAGAGATGAAACCCAGACTACACTGATGGTAGTCCATTAAGTTCATTTAGTTCTGCAGGGAGATTTAAATCACATAAGTCAAACTGTTCTTTTCTGAGCAAAACTGGTTTACTTTGCAAAAATATATATTGTAAAGAAAGGGAGTGGTTAGATTTTACTGTTACTTGTTTTATATTATTGTTTTTAGAAATCTTGTTGACTTTTATGTATGCCCTTGACATAAGCTAAATGTTTCCTATAAACCTCTAAGTACATTTCAAAATTTGGTAAATACTAAATATTATTCTAATACAATATTGAAGTTCCAAAGATATTTAATACAGATTTATGTCTTT